AGATGCAACCAGATATGCTATTCTTATTACATGGTTGGATGTAGGCTTTCTGCTACCATTCCGCTACGTCTGCCAGGCATCAGCTTAAATAAAACATTATTTCCCACGCTTATGTGTGTCTACGACAGTAGCTTTTCAAGACAGCTCCTAGTTGCTAAATTTGTCAAACTCATGATTACGAATAGATGCAATGGCAATCCCCCGGACATAGTGCACAAAATGATCCGACCCGCACTTTGTTTTGTTTGAACTTTCTCGGAAACCAAACCACCCAGACTTATCATATTTAGCTTGATGATAATACAACTCACCAAAGTATGGAGAAACCATAGGGGGTGTAAATCGTCATCCACGCAACCCAAGGTAATAATAAATATATCAAAGTTGTTGGCAAAACACACCGATCGACTTAAACACAGTGCTCAGGCATACTTCTAATCCTGATCCACATTGTCTAAACCTCGAAGACGTTCCATTCATAAGAGATGATTGTCTATAATTTGTGAAAATTTTCGAACACTTTGTCATGCCCGTAAATCTGACTCGTCGAAAGACCGCATATTTTTTCAATAGGTTTCAAATCTGGGCTCTGGACCGGCCAATCTGTGGTCTTGACGTTTTGGTGCAGCGATCCACATTCTAGGTGGGTTCTTTGTGTAAAGACTTTCTATCTACAAAAATGGGACCCCCATACCATGACAGAAACTCCACCGCTGAAGGTTGAATTTTCTCTTACACCGGCTACACATTGGTATACTAGGGCTTTCGAGGTTGAAGTTTTTCTTGTTGTTGAATATCAGACAATTCCGACTGAAAGTTTATTTGGTTTAAGTTCTAACCCACTCAGTTCAATTATCTGTACCATGAACTGTTATTAGCGGTATTGATTTCACCTTCATGAATTGTACGTTTGGTGCAATTTATCACAGTGGTCGTACGCGCTTCACACTCATGCCTAAGTGTAATGTGATCGTTGTAACTTCACGCAGTTATTACCCGATTCAAAGTGACATAAAAGAGCTATCTCGTGCCTTGAACAGATAGCTTTTTCTCGAATTCCACGTTTGTTCTGCCAGTTATGCGAATGTGGATCGACCAAAATGTTATTTAAAACCCGCAGTTATTGATGAATTTTGTTATGACTCGTGCAAAGACTGTGATCATGTTTTTTAGGCGAGTATTTTTCGTTCTTGCAGCTATTATAGCCCTTAACGGCATGGCCTTTTGTTGGTTCGGTAAATGACACATTCATGAACTCAACCATCATGCACGATCTGGGTGATTGTCTTTCAAATACGGCGTGGGACGTGATTATAGTTCAGAATCGTCGCCTAACATATCTTAGGTGTGACTGGATCATAGAACTTATATGGATTGCATGTTGTGCAGTACATGTTAAAAACAGTATTATTGAGATAGAGTTAATAGCATGTTGAACACCCATGGGTGTAATTTGTAGGTAAAATCTGTTTCGCAAAGCCATGATCAAATTCCGTTTGATATCTCTATAAGGTAAGGAGTTGTATCATCCCCAAATCAAATTTGATCTATCCGGGTGTTTTATTCATGCAGAAAATGTGCAAAAACAGAGTGGGGTTGATAGCATTTTGTACGTTACATTATTGAGCTAACGTTATTGTAGAACTTTGTTGAGGCTACGCATAAAACTTTCGAATGAGCATCTGATAGAGAGAGTATGGTGAACAGCTAATGAATCCCTTGGAGATTTAGTGTTCTATTGGTTATTTGGCCCCTGAATCCGCAAAATTCCAGTTATTAATATTACGCGCGCAATAGAGGGAGGGACAGAGTAAAATGCCGTTCGATGAAAGCAAGATATGCACAGCACCACAGAAGTGAAAAGGTACACGTGAGATTCCGTCTTTTGAATTGAAGATCACCGGATTTTCGTGCAGACAGAAAGCCTCGTTTTCAGGTGAGACCTGTGATCTCATTTTCCTAGAAAATGCTTGTTAACTTGGTTGCGGTTCTTCAGAAGTAAACGGAAATTAGCCCAAAAATTGAGGTCAGAAAATACCACACATTTTTGTTTCAGTTGCATACTAACTAGTGAAAATTATCTGAAAGCAAGCCTGGCTTTCTTGAGGATTAGGAACCCGTTATAAGGCCTAGAGAGATGAACCGTATATTAATCCAGTAGGAAAATTACCACAATGTGTGGTACTACAAGTAAACATACCTATGCGCAGTTCCGGTGTGAATAGTGAAATATCTTAATTACAAAAAGGAGTTATGAGCTCTTCAGAACGACATAGATTTGACAGTGAGTAACAGTACCTCCATAATATTAAAAAACAACTCACGATCAATGAAGTACTTAGTGCATTATGAACCTTTCCGGCTTGTCAACACATACAGTCCTTCAAGCTACTCGTCAGGGAAGTTTTCTTTACAGATTAGAAAGTTCAAAGATGGGATGTTCACCGTCCCTTCTCACCCCCCTTTCGAAGTTCCCAAAGGCTACAACACAAGAATGAGTGAAATGGGGGACAAATAGACCTAAATAGCTTTAGTTGAATGAAAGCCACTTTTCTTGGACTGAAAGTACATTTATGTATATTTATTTATTTATATTTTTCATCGATAGTTGAGATATGCACAAATTTACCCAACGTGCTTCCCGCTCTGCCGCAAACACCATTGTTGGTTCTTGAAAGTGACCCTTTGAGGAGGACGTACTTAAATGTATTTCAAATGACCGAGTAATAGGAAACCCAAAGCCATTACGATGAGAAAGCTTTTGTTTATCGATAGTTCGACCCAAATCAGTGTCAAATTTTCATTTTATTTGAGTATCTTGACAACAGTAACAAAGTAACAAACTTACCCCACTTTATGTCCTTTCATCTGAAACAACCTTGTAATAGATGAGTAACTTAGCTGAAAAATCTCCCCACACCGAAAAATCAATAGCGCAAAATGTTTAAATGAAGAATTTCATTGGTGGTGACGAGGTTCTTTTGAAAAAGACGGTTATGTTGAAGCCACGTCGTGATACCACTAGACAAACATGTACAATGTGTGCTATGGCGGGGCGCAAACCATGCTTGACCGGTTAGTTCAGCTTCGGATTATACATCTTTTAATTTTTCATTGATAAACGTCAGATTCTGTCGACAGTGGGCGAAAATGGAACGGACACAACAAGTAACGGTTCTCTCATCTCTCTCTTTCTCAATATCACAATAAATTGTCTAGATTTTCTTCGGGCAACTGTGCTTCAAACATCATCAATGGTACTTCGTCTCTATCCGTCCCTTGAGGAAAACCCTATCCCCCACCGAGGAGTGGTATCTATTTAGTATGGCGCAATTAAGATACGCTAAAGGCATCTAAAAGCTCCTCACACTAACAGATAGTGGTCTCCATCAGTTTCCGTGTCGTTCCTCAAGCAGTGCATCTGATGTTATTGCATTTCTAAGCGCGGTATTTTTCTCTCCCCATATTATAGTGACACATTTACTTGAATAAACAAAACAATTTGGTGCATATCGAAGCTGCTAAATGTATTCTCACACGTCAATCAGGGCTCAAACATAAAAACATTTTACCATGAATACTTGACCGGGGTCAAAACTGCCCATTATGGTTTCCAGCGACAGAACGTTCTATAAGAAAACACCTTTTTGGAGCCTGAATGTTTCAACTCTGCATCTATCATATATTCTGACAGCTTGTTGTTTAGAATTCGTACACGAACGGCTCGGTCTAGTCTTACTTCAAAACTAGTTCCCTGGACTTTTGTATCTGACATAATTTAAGAATTCCCACGATTTATTTAACCACGGTCCACATTTTCTACATGGAAAACTTCACAATCCCGGTTAACGAAACAAAATGGCCATTTTCGTCTAATATTTATCCATAAATGTTTCACTGAGAACAGTCTTCCTCGTATCACGCTACCCACAGTAGATTGTCCGTACTGCATTGAGAAAGCCACACATGCTGTGGTCTTCCGATCCAGGAGTCACTGAGCAACTAATTAAACATGAGAACGCCACAAAAATAATATCGTACTCTTTCTAAGGCGAATATGACTGGTGAGAATTGTGCTAAATATGGTCCATACAAAACGCCCACATGTACGTAACAACGGCAGACCAGATATGAACTGACTACCGACATGCAATGTAGCAGTTGGTTGCTACAAGGATGTTCCAACTCTTGTCGCGTATTGCTCCGTATTCAATTTTAACTCCTACCGAACCCGTTGACGAACGTTTTGATAATAAATCTTGCGGTGTTGAACAGCTGAAGGAATCTAACAACGGTAGATTAAACCTGAACTGAAGGCCAACAAACACTGAAAGAATCAGGTGCTAAATGCAATCACTAACAGTTGATCGCTTCATTTACCCCGCACTGTGCACTGTAACAGGTCAAAATTTTTGAATTATCTGTGATTATTGAAGGTTCACGTATCACTGATCACTGATAGCAGCCTGAGAGGCTCTTGAAATAATATCAACGGGTTCACTACTCTTCCTGTACGGGCGGAATTGATCACATGCGTATTGCATATACACGGGTTTTGATTTCTACCAAGATGCATGAAACAGCCATGCAGTGAGTTTGAAGCTTTTCATTAGTAAATGAGGCAACTTAACGGTAGTTAAGTTCCCTGTCTTAAAGGAATATGTAAATTTCAATAATCATTGACGGAATGTGATTAGCTATAAATCGCGTGGAGTTAAACATTACTGCGAATTCAACCATCCTATTTTCACTGATTCACATATTGAAGGTCCATGACCTCTGTGCCCCGAATGTTTCTAGTTACCAATTAACAGTAATACATAACCATGAAGATACTAATTCGTTTGAGTGCGGTGAGGACCGGTGTGATTCAAATAGTGTTTTATCTAACTGCATGCGTATGGTTCACCGACTCTGAACACGTTTTCACGATGTTTGTGATCGTATCTGTATCTGTTTCACTTTCAATTGTACAGCGAACAAAGACGGGTTTGACAGAAATGTTGTCACCGGTGACCAGATGGATCAGGCAAATCTCGAACGGACTCCTCTACAATTTAGGTACAATTGAACCACAGAGGCCCCCGGAATATACTGTGCCGACGGCGAATGTTTTGCAGAATCTCTGTCCCCTGGACCCAAATGCTCTTCCCATTTTACTTCAGACAACCCCAGGAGATGGTTCAACGGACCCACTGACACCCGTGTCCTACCGTCCAGGAACCACAAGGGCACTGGTGGAGGATCCATTAGCACAATCTAGCCTACTAGTCAATTCCTTATCTGCCACATTCAACAACCCTTCAATATTACCTGCCCAAATCGGACTTGGTATGAGTCCAACAATTGAGTCTACTCTGCACTCACAACCGGGGCTGGGTCAACTCTCATGTACCATGACTCTACCTCCAGCAATTGGCCTATCGTCGGACCAACAGAATATACCCAAACCGCGCTATTTCACATTTGATGGTCAACATCGAAAGTTCTACCTATCTGCACGGTATTTAAGATCCGCTCAACGACAGCGAAGGCACAGACGAAGAGTTGCACAGCGGTTAAAAGAGCAGGCGCGTGCTGAAATGAATCAGATCCAGAACGCCATTTCTTATGGATATCCGGGGGACACAAGGCAACCACATACACCGAGGGAAAAGACAATCATACCTCCATCTGAGAGCGCACCGGATAAAACGCTGGACATTGTATCCATCACAAGCGAAGTGGCCAATGAAAACGGAATACCATTGCTTTGTTGGAAAGACATTGACTTAGATCTTGAAGTTAGATCCATTGATGACGAAACTGAGTTAGCACGATTAACAAGAAGGGCTTCAAAAGACAAGAACGGCAGAACTCCAACTGCTCAAGAGCCTCGATTTTCAAAACTTCAACCTTCCTTTGCATGCATTGCACCGAGTATAAAAGATATGGAGGATATAAACCTGGAACACGAATATTCACAGAAATCCCCGAAAATTGTGACGATAGGACAAGAAAGTGAAGCAAAGAAATATACAATAAATACGCTCAAACGCATGTGGCCCACAACTAAACACAACAAGATCTCGGTCAGTACGGAACCAACAATTTTAGAGAATACGATGATTTCCTCGTTAGACAAAGATCAACCAAATGAGAGAACACCCGCAGCATTGCAAGCCCTTAGACCAGTGCCAGCAAACAAACCACGCATTGGACAAACACTATCACCAGGCCACTCATCCACACCAGCAGGTTACCATAGTATCAAACAAATTACCCCCACCCATTCGACGGCAAGCGCCATGCTCAATCAATCTGTCCTACCGCAGAACAGGTACCCTAAACAAATCTCCACGTTGCCTACATTCACTCAAAACATCACTTCTCTTCCACCGATCAAGGGTTCATCAAGCTTCCAGAATGAGCATATACAAAGTCTATTGCATTCCACGGTGATTAGCAATCCAGCTGCATTGGACTCTGTGGATTCCGAGTTAGATGAGCGAGCACTAATCCACGATAAATCTCGACTCTCGTTAGTCTCATCACGTGGAGATCTGAACAGTGATGTGCAAGTTCAACTCAGCTATTACTCCCAGCAAGAGAGTGTTAAAACGGAAGAGGATTTATCGTTTTTCTCCTTCCGGGATAGGTTCAGCACAAAAGAGGATATCTCTAAAGTCACGGTGCCAATCAGTCTGTCCCTGTTGATTATGACCACCTATATTGTGATCGGAGCAGTTGTGTTCTCCAAATGGGAGAACGAAGGCTATCTGAAATGGTCATATTTTTGTTTTATCACTTTGTCAACAATCGGTTTTGGAGATATCGTCCCAGGTAAGTGACTGTCTCGTTAGATTTATCACCTTTTTAATTCCATTCCACTTTGGACATCTCACAGCATAAAAGTAACTATAGCTGTAAGACTGATGGGTAGATCGAGTGTTTTTCAATCTCATGGAGTTGGAGAATAACATCTGTTGATGAGACTCTAAGAATAACTTCAGCAGGTATTTCCGCAACAAAACGTTTCCAAAGGAACAAGCTCTGGGTTTTCAGGGGATCGCGATGATCGAAGAATGTCGAGAATCGTTTATCTTCCTCACCGAAAACATATAAACATATTAGTGTGTTCATAAATTTCAAAACGGCTTGTCAGAAGACAAACACTGGAAAGGGAAGTCCTTTCATATTTTCATCAGTCAAGTACGCATAAATTCAGATTTCAATGTGTTCTCGGCCTTGATCAGGGCGATTATTTCCAATTGCCCAGGTGACATCTAAGATATTCAGNGAGTGCACAAGAAATTTGGACGACTAAGAACGGCATTAACAATTCTGAATTCTTTTGGGGCCTTGCCGACGACGGAATTCATGTCAGTGCCACAGAAATAGATCGTTACCAGGATATGACACGTTGATCGCGTGGATTGAATGTGCGTCTAAAAATCATATTTGGTGTGGGAGCGGGTAAGAAAACGACAGCGGTCAAATTTTCTTAATCCAATCTATGTTCAATAAGTGGCGGCGACGACCCTCAGTGGGACAGGAGCAAATTTAAACCAGTTAACAGTGAATTTTCCGAGCGAACACATGGAATAGCTATGGCAGGAGTCAAACCTCGGATCCCAAGACCCGGTGGCGGCGGTCAGAATTGCTCAGTCACCACTGTTGTACAGCTATCACCTCCGTGACTACATCGAGGAGTGTATTGGTGCTCATGAGGTCTGCCTTTTTGAATGCTTAAGATCAAACAATTAAACGACATAGGGTTCATTTCAATCATCATCAGAGCACGAGGCTATGCATACCTTACAATCAAATGAGATTCTGTAGCAAGCATTTTGCTTGGAAGGGTTTTAAAGTACAACCTTGCACCATCAGTACAGCAGATACCCTATAGGGTGGGATACCGGATTGCACCTGAACCAGCCCAAAGTTGTAAGGCACAAAACCCAGATACCATAAACAAATTAATAAAACTAGACCGACGTGTCATTCGTTTTTTTATTACACACGAAGTGATTTATAGTAAAAGGGGTAAACCCCATAAACAACGATATACTGCAGGGGGAGGTGTGTGGGGAAATCTTCAAGTATGAACGAATCTGTTAGTCCTGCTTTTGAAAAGGATAAGGTTATAAGAGCTGGGAAACACGGAAATGAGAAGAGTGTTCCACAATTTCACAGTCCTCGGGAAAAAAGATTAAAAGATAGAAGTCCGACATCTGGGGACAGAAACCTGATAAAGGTGACTGTCCGCCTGTGAACGAGATGGACGAGAGGTTACTGGAGTGGGAACCGCTGAACCGAGTTCGGAAAGGCAGAAACCAAAATAGTAACGATAGAAAAGAGATAAAGAAGAAACTACCCGGATATGGGAAAGCGACTGCAAGATGGAAGTTAAAGACGGTTCGTCGATCAGCCGGATGGCCTTATGTTGAACACGGTCGAGGAGAGGGAGAGAGAGAGAGAGAGAGAGAGAGAGAGAGCGGAATACGAAGCCCCACCCATACGTGACTGCATTATTCAAGCATCGGGCGGATTGGAGCTTTGTATAAAAGGAGGTGCTTGGGTGTAAAGAAACGCTTTGCACGGAATAGAAAACCAACTTTGCGCCCAGCGCGAGAGGCAGATGTAGAGATAAAAGAGGAACAACAGAAAGAAGAATCTAAACCCAGGGGCAAGAGAGAATTTGTGGAACGAAGGGAAAGAGAATCAAAGATCAATTGAGGAGAAAAGGAGACACGTTTAAGAGAGACTGAGAGGAAAGAAGTTTTGGAAGCATTGAAACACATGCGGAGATTCAGTTCAGCTCACTTTTTACAACCATTAACCATGCACTTTCGTGCGCCAGTTTCGGTTGCTGTCTTTTGGTGCCCCATTTGAATAAAAGAGCAGGATAAAGATTGGAATGTTGAAAACAAATTCAAGCGAAGATGGAGAATTCATATAGAGTGGTGTTACGAAAATAACGAGTGGATACACGAGCGCCACTGTTTGCGACACCCAGCCATATCACTCAGTGTA